AAACCCCTGCCGTTATGATGACCTCTGTGGCCCCTTTCCCTGTATCCGAGATCCGAACAATGAGCTTGCAGGCTACGCCTGCCGTTGTACCAAGGGATACAAACCAACAAGTGAGTCTGACCCCACCTGTGTGAACGTGAATGAATGTGAGGATCCCATCAATACGCCTTGCCTCAACGGTGGCGACTGTCATGATCTGGTGCCTCCAACCTTTGTCGACGTCTCAGGAAAGGAGCGGCGATTCCGGTAAGACTTATTGCATTTAATTAACTTGTAGCGGTATTAAAAAGCTTCTTGTATTACAGAGTTAGCTATGCTGCAGTGTATGCCCCTCCCCCACTGAAAGGTAAGAATATCGTGCTAGCACAGCGCGGGAAGGGTCGAAAATGGTCACATAGACATATTCACCTTCTCTTTTTCATGACTGGATACCCTTCAGCCTATTACGGTTATACTACACGAGACACCTTTCAAAGTCGGTCACAAAGGACCTTACGCCTACATTCAGAGCACATCCAGAACCTGTGACATCACTGCGGGACTGGGATTCGAGACTCAGCTCGCTCTTGGCTGGACGGCACTTATCCGGGATTCAATTACCAATTCCTCATAATCCATGCCCTTAAGTAAACGATTCCTTACACACTAGACTCAAACGTCTTATCGTTTAATCTACTGGTTTATAACCGTTGAAATACGTCCATCTTCTTTTACCCAGCTGGACTACTTCTTATTCTACAAACTTTCGTGGGTAAAAAACATCCTAGCCCTTTGTATAACGCCAAACTGCCCCAATTGAAGCGATCTAGCAAGCAAGAACGACAAAGCTATACGTCGGAACCTTATGCCTAGACAGGCTATCAGGATAATATAATTAAAATAAATATCCGCCGGCTTGGTGCATTCATTTGTGGCTGTTAACAGCCTCAGTTATACATTTTTGGGGAGTAACAATGCCCAAGCAGGTTCAAACACACCGGGTGAACATAGAAGAGAGGATAGGTATATCAATATTTGATAGGACAAGATAGCCTTGGCATGACAGTCTTCTCTTATGTCTACGTTCATTCTGTCTCCTGTTCTTTTAACCAGGTTTTGCCTCTTTCAACTTAAATTTAGATGCGAATGCCGTTTTGGATTTACTGGAACTTATTGTGAAATACCGCCGCCCCCCGTGGCCTGGTCGGCCTGGGGTGACTGGTCCACCTGCTCTGTTGAATGCGGCATGGGAGTTCGAAACCGTCATCGGACTTGTCCCCGACCCGGTGAGTGCCTTGGAAAGGACACTCAAGCAACAGTCTGCGCTGGACGTGTGCTCACGTGCGATGATGTTGAAACCAAAATCATTGACGGAAAGGTCACCTTTATTTATCGATCGGAGACCCGTGTGTTGAAGCAGGTAAATGTGCTTGAATACATTTAAACAACACTGACCTAAAAAAGGCTGGCCCCGCCCACATAACTCCTATTCTTCTCCTCCTCTTTCGTGTCCTCGCCCTCCTCCCCATCATTATCACCATCATTTTAGCTGTTATGTCCCAGAGTAATAGGCAGAAGAAAGGTGAAGAGCAGTTTCTTTTGGTCAGCGCCTTATTCAGGACGACAAAAATATAGCGGATCTTGTAGCTCGCTCATTTTCAGCGTATTTATATTGTTTTGCTCCTAGGATTGAGGAATGAAAATCTCTACCTTACAGCTATCTTTCTAGAAAGATAATGCTCAGTTGAGTTTAATGCAATTAATTTGACGGAAACATAGGAGGGTATGCTTTAGAGCCCC